GAAAATGTCAACTCGCAGTGCATTGGGAGTTTGTTCCACCAGGTCAGATTGTTAATCAAGCTTTCTATTTAGAGATTCCGAAAAGATTGTGCAATAGTGTGCGACAAAAAACTCCTGATTTGTGGAACACAGAGATCTGGATTTTCCACTACAGTGCACCTGCTCATGCAGCCTTCTCAGTGTGCCAGTTTTTGGCAGAAAACAGTATGTCTCTTTACCCCATGCATCTTATTCAGCGGTCCTTGTTTAGTGAGATTTCTATTTGTTTCCACAAATGAAGAGAGATGTGAAAGGACAGCTATTTGAGGACATAGTAGAGGTGAGGTAAAATACAAGGGAGGTGCTGTCAGCCATCCAAGCAGATGAGTTTGAAAAATGTTTCCAAGCATGGAATCACAGATTTTTTTGTTTCCAGGGGAGAGCACAAACACAGTCCCCCACTACCAGAAATTATGTGGTCGAGTTTCCCACATTTGGGGAAATCGCAGGGGCCAGTGCATCCGGAGTGCAATGGATAAGGCTCGTCCCGGGAAAACCACCTTCATGATCATGGTATCTCCCCTGCCAGGTAAGTATAGGAATCACAGATTTGACAACTGTATTGAGTGCAATGGAAAGTACTTTGAAGGTGATAAGGTTGTTTTATAAAAACAAAATGAAATACCTAGCTTTGAAAAAAAATTCTGGGTTTTTTTGGGAGGGTACCCCCTCATACATTAATGTTCACTTAAGAATTTCTCAACACTACCTAGAATGAGAAAAAAATATGCTGCTCTAGTTTAATACTTTGCAGGAGAAAGATTAGGGCTTCTACTCCCATAAACACGTAGTCTCAGCAACCCACAACGGGTCGCTTTGAAATAGCATTGACTCAATGGCAGTGAGTTTGATTTTGGGGCATTTTAATTTTTCAGCCTTTAATAGAACACCTGGGTTTATAATCTTTGGTTTATATATAATAGAACACCTGGGTTTATATACTTGGTAATTAAAATATGTGTAATGTATTCAATGTTTCCTTTCTTCTTTGAAAGCTTTAACTACGGAACGATTAAAACCTTTATTGTTATCTGTTAATGATAGCTATTAGGCAAACAAGAAACATACTTCCAACTTTAAATACAGACACTTGGGAACGTCTAAGATGACGCCAGCTATGTTCTCAAAAACGTGACTGCCGTTAGCTAGAACTCAAGGTTTCACTGGCAGGACTCAAAAGGAAACAACTATGATTCTGATTTGGAGTGGAGTCTTTCCTGTCAGAAGGCTCCAGATAGGCTGCAAAGCAACACTGCAGTGACAGCATTCCAAAGACAAAAAGCAAACACACAGATATGCAGTCCTCAAGAAACTAAGCAATAGAAAACTAAATTATTTGGAAAGAACAAGAACTTGTTCATATTTTCATGCCCAAACACGGCACTTTGGAACTATCTAGGGTGATGAGGCTGGATACACATTGTTTTAGAGAAGAGCCAAATGGATACGTTGGCTACAAGCATAGTTCATGGTGGATTGATCTGTAACATCCTGCATTTAACAAGGGACTTAATGTTCACTCTATAAAATCCAGACTGATGGCCAGCCAAATCGCTGACCTTAACATTGTCTTGGATTAATATTTTCTATAAGTGATTTAATATCACTTTGCTATTTAATTAAATAGAAAACAACTAAACAATTTAGTGCATTTAATTTTAATTCTGTCTATGTTTGCTTTGTTTGGAGCAACGGCATACATGTACACAGCTCCTGTTTTATCAGACTAGTTATAAAACTTCCTATATGTGCTACCACATCAATTATTTCCTTCACGACCCTAAGTTTTGAGCCTGACACCCAATACTCTTACCTTTAAGACTAATTTTACTTTTTCCACATAGTCCAGATCAGCCAGGAACATAAGCCCTGCAAAGGGGATATTATTACCTCAGAAC